CAAACTGCTGTCAGACATTATCTACTGCACTCTGATCACATCACTCAGACCAGCTGCTTTCTACAAAGTCTCATCAACAACATCTTTAGAAACAAACATCAACAAGCAGGAAGCAGCTTCACCTCTGATCACACACACTCAACTCTACTCACTCACCTGGAGGATCAACAACACTTAGTGTGATGATGCTGATGGGATCAACATCTAAAACACCTCTCTTCCTGCGCTTTGCTCCTCTCTGGACGACACGACACTCGTATGTTCCAGCGTCATTACTCGTCACATTCTTCAGAATCAAAGACACGTCTCCATCCTTCATCTGTCTGTCCTGCAGATCCACTCGGTTTGTAAAAGATGGATGCTGTTGTTCTGGATAGAAACGCTCATCCCGGAACACAAGCACATATTTCTCTCCCAGGTCAGCTCTGCTCCACTCTAGAACAATAATGTTGTTATTGTTTGGAGCTCGACATGTCAAAGTGATGTCCTGTCCAGACTCAGCTGTGATGTTTTTGTTCTCTGAAAGAGGAAACAGCACAGAGCAGAGAGGTTAAAGGTCAAAATACAACGACTCACTACACCAGGCAATGAGAGTGAAGGTCACTTGTGTCAAACCTCATTTTCACTGGCACTACTTTAAAAGTATGTTCTAATAGAAAGGTGTCTCACTTTGCTACCTACCTACAATAAATAAGGAGCTAATTGAGATCTCATGTTACTGGTAAAGCAGAAACCTTAAGCCACAGTCTGAACATATTTCTGTATTTCAGTGTTTGGGTTCAGACACAATGTTCCCGTCTGGGTACGTGTTTCTGTTTGGACAGCAAATGCAAACATGTTGTAAAATCCCAACTGCACATCAATGGAGGAGGATGACCTTTGGGTTGGGTCAATACTGATTGGCTGATTAAGGGTAAACACAAGTATTGGCACTACTGGGAGTTCACCAGGAACAGATTAATCACATGCACATTTGTGCAACCACACACAAGAACTTGAGTTGTGGTTCATTTGTAAAGCTCTGGAGAGATACAGACGACACTGACAAACGAGGCATGTTCAGTACAAAGAATCTAGATATCCTCATGCTCCGGTAACTTCAGGGTTAATTTGGGGTTTTCTGTACTACAGACGTGTAGTTAAACAGCTATGAAAGACCCAC